CATATTTCTTTGAGTTGGAAGCAGTTCTAAAGATTGTCTTTTATAAAAGAATATTACATTTCCAGCCTAATACATTTAAGAGCTAATTACCAAAGGTAGTCCCTTTAGAGAAAAAAATATGGTATTATTTACATTTTGAACCATCTGGGGTTAGAGGCGGGTAGGTAGGCGTTCTGGTAAACTAAACTTTACACAAACTAAAACCTAGTAGAGAAAAGGGAAGCAAACCTGAAAGAATTAGGAGCTGGTTTCGCAACTCCAGCTGCGAGAGAAAAGCCCCATCATTCCTGCCTCCAAAGGCTGAGCAACATCCTTCTCTCGATTATGCAATACTCTAATAAATTCCTCTGCACTCAGTTCCCCATCACAATTTGTATCGAATAGATGAAAAATTATGTCCACAACCTCGTCTGTCAGATTGATGCCACACACCTGTAATTACACAGAATCCACCCATGGGCAAACAAAAAAAGAAAACAAAAAACCTCAGCAATTAAAAAAATTATGTGGTCGAAGAGGATCTTGAATCAGCTTTCTCAAACCACACACACAAAAAAAAATGTTCCAGAAGATTCAGTGGGAGCAGATGTGAAACAGCGTATAAATAAATAGCAAAACAATAAAATACATGGAAGTCAAGCTTGATTTCTTCCTCAATAGATATTTTACATCGATATTTGATTCTTCAGACTTCAGAAAGTATTAAGGACATGATGGACTTTGTTTGGTAAGAAAGATGAAGCAAAATAAGCATATCATACCTGGCATGCAGCCCGCTGAAAATCATTCTTCGTCAGGAAGCCGTTAACCTTTCCGTAACTAAATAATGCCAGTGAAAATGGTTGCAATTTTGTACGTAGGGCGTCGAAATCCTTGAACTCCTCCCATGTGACACGAATGTCCCTAAAATGTGGGTTATCGTCCATTCTATTAACTCGATCAAGCAACCCACTTAAATGAGACGAGTCAGCTGAGGCAACCATGGACAATGCAAAGTCCTTGGCGGATATGGTTCCTCTTAGTTTATAGTCATAATGTGCAAACTCCAATCTTAACATCTATAATAAAAACCAATATTTTGTTGTTCAGAATTCAGATAGAATGTGAATAATAAACAGTTTCCAAACTGTTCCCTGATCAAGCAGTTCTGAAATGTCGCGAGGAATATTTGCTCTAATTACAAGTTAGCTTAAATCGAGTTATAGTAAACATTAAGAAATTCAACACTTGGTTAGCATAGGGTTACCTCAATCTTCAAATTTTTCATAAATTGGACAAATTTATCAAGTTGGAGACCGGCGTCTCCATCTTTACCAAAGAAGTAGTCTACTAGGCCTCCATTCTCCACACAGCCATCAACAATCAACCTGCTACGATGTCCATTTCTATGTTGAGCCCCTTGTCGAATATGAGACCGCATCAGAGCCATCACTTTCTTGAATTCTTCCTTATCAATCTCCCTATTAAATGCAAAACTATTACTCAAGGCACCATTGTCATGAAAATACATGCGACTTAGGTTAATGATAGTTTAAATTGCTTCTTGAATTCTTCTTTATCAATCTCCGAATAAAATGAAAAACTATTACTCAAGGCACCATTGTCATGAAAAGACATAACTTAGGTTAATGGTAGTTTAAATTGTACTCAGAATTCAGCATTAAACTAAAAGAAGCTTAAAAAAAGTACATTCACAATGATATTTTCTAGTAAAGTTCAGAGGCCTTGCATAATGAGAATAATGTTCCATCACATCACCACTAATCTGCTTCGATCACTGTAGATCCTAAAGAGATTGCTAAGAAAATAGACTCTCATATCAGTCTTGAAAACTGAAATTATCGAAAATATATCGATCAAAATACCATTTTGGTCACAGTACTTTGGGCTTTTGGTCCTATCCTTTCAAATGTTCAAATTTAGTTTGAAATTTCAATAAAACTTAAAAATTGGTCCCTACTATGGTTGGTTAATTTGTATCGAAATAGGTTAAATAAGACTAATAATTTTCAAACAAGAAAAAGACACAAGTAATTAAATTTTCAAAATTTATAGAGTCAAGGCTAATATAGACTATTATTTTATACAGAAAACTTAACCCTAAACTACGCATAGGAATTTTAAGCTTTATTGAAATTACATATATAAAATTTGGACAATAAAAAATACCGGGACCAAAATGGAATGAAATCCAAAGTACACAGACCAAAATGATATTTTAACCTTTAGTCTACTTTCTAATGGTTTGTGAAACTTAGATACTATCGTTTGAGTATTCTCACCCATCTTTTTCTTTCCTTCTTTTTTTTTTTTTTTTTTTTCCCTCTAAATTCTGAATATTCATGAGTGTTCAAATCAGCATGTGTGCACCTTGATTATTCTTATATGAAAACTACCGGACCCTATTATATTCTCATCCATCTAAATTAGAAAAGCACGAAATGAACAAGTAATTAATAAGACAAATCCATAAAGAGGGAGAGAGTCAGCTCAATTGTAATACCAGTCAGTAAACTCAAAATGCAGGGAACAAAATCAATCCAAAAAATAAATTGTTCAGCACATAAAAAAGTGCAGAGAAGACCGTGATGATAGGGCCCTTGCCCATAGAGAACAATCATGGATCTATTTATGGAGCATGAAACTATTAAAACAGGAGTTTAGTTTTTCCAAATAGTAAAAATAATTTTTAAGGTTTAAAACCACAAGACTGATGTTATCCATCATTGTAAAAGTAAACTTAGCGAACAAGGTAAACGTAACATACCCATCATCGTTGCGGTCAAACATTTTAAACGTCACAAGAAAACTTGATTCTGGGATGCTGAGTAGTGTTTTCAAAAAAATATACCTGGTAAGCAAAGAAAAAGATCTTCAAGTTCGAGTCTAATTATCAAATGACTAAAATGTCATGGTGAGAAATTTCATAACCTCACGATGGGTTGATCATGGGATGGAAATATAATCTCATAGCACAAAGAATAATGTAACAAGTATCATAAATATATAAAATATGGACGACTCACTCTTTAAAAGAAACAAGCCCATCATTGTTTATATCAAAAAGCATGAGCAAATCCGAAGGGGCACAACGAAGCATCCCAGGGTTCCTTTCCCCACTTAAATATCCATCTCTTACCAGATGCGACTCGGAAGGTGGAAAGACAGGAATCACAGCCCGCATTAAATCCATTGGTCTCATGAGTAATTCTCCATCTGGCGCACGAAATGATGCAAAATACTCAAAGACCTTCAGGAAATGAGATGGCAAGAAAATATGTCAAATATAGCAAACTTTTAAACAACCTAACGTATCAAATTATTAGAAGTTAGGAAACTTAGAACAACTGAAACTCAAGGAGCATGTGAAATTTACATTGTTGAAAAACATCAAAACTTAAAGATAACAGACTACGATATATGTCGTGACATTAAAGGTTTCCAGAACGCCCGGAAACCAATTTGATCTCTCATTGTACTGATTTCTGCAATCCAATCCCCAAACTCAAACATTTCAGTAGCCTAACACTTCTGAGGTAGGCGCCAATTTTAATTACTAAATTCAAGAGCGAATTTGTCGATGGTTCAAATAAAATCAGCTCAGGAGTCAGTTTGGAATTCCTTATAGTTTGAACACTTCTTTTAAAAAAAAATAAAAAAAAATAAAACATCTTTCAACAAAATGTTATTTTATCTTAAGAGATTTTCAAAAGTATTTTAAGTACAAAATTGTTTGATTGCAGTATATTAAAAATATTTTTTAATTTTTTGGTACATATTTGGAGAATATTCAGTTAATACTTTAAAAATCTATTTTGACCCTCCTAGTGGTTTTGATCATCTAAAATCACTCAACAAGTATACTAAACACATTTTAAATTATTAATTTTCTCAAAGGTTCTTACATAAAATCGATTTTGTTCAAAAATCACACGCAAGTTATTCCAAACCTACCGTGACTAGTTGCAAAGAAAAACCACTTCACTTCGGAAAAGAAGAATCATAATATACTTCACACTGTTAGTTACTGAGACTGTCAAAGAAAAAATAAAAAAGAGAAATAATACAATTCACAAAATAATTAGTGTACCTTCTCCGGAGGGCTGTACAATCGAATACGTTTCTCGTAATTGAAGAATACCTTTCGACGAAACTCCTCTGCAACCACCAAGTAGAAAGGAGCAAAGAGTCAACAACACAAACACGATTTTACTTCCGTTTTTTCCAACTACGATCACATATATATTTACGTATTCACTAATCTCTCTTCATGATTTCTACTCCCCTAATCGGACGAAAGAACAAGAAAACCAAGAAATGAAAGAATGATTTCTTACCTTTAAACAGAAACTTGGAGGAGATTTCCGGTAGAGAAAATTTCCTAAAAAACGAATTCGAACACGGCTGCTCAACAATCCCATCTCCAGCACTATCCACAGCAGTTGACTCCGCAAGAGCAAGTGCTGGAGTAGCAGAACTACCAGACACATAAAGAAACCCTAATCCAGATCCTAGCAAAATTCCTGAGGTCAATTTGAGAAAGGAACCAATAAAAGAAGGGATCCGAGACCGATCGTCAGCCGAAATTGAAGCAGAAACCGATGAAGACGAAGAAGTCGATAACTGATTAACTGAGAGCCATCGGATGGAGCAGGGTGGGAGAGTGGAGAGTGAGGATCTCCGGAGAGATCGTAAAGACAACATAGCCATAGCGAGAAGTGTCTGAGGAGAGAGAAATAAATAAACCCGGTTGAAATTAAATACTTCCCGGTTTTCTAATGGCTTTGTTTAGAGGCAGCGGAATTATAGTTTTGTGAGACGTGGAATAAAATAATTGGTGAAAAATTTAATAACTAACTTTGGGCCGATAACATCTTGACCCAGCCCACTGGATAACTGTATGGATGACAAATTTTCAAATTCCATATAATTATGCATAGTTTAGTTTTTTTTTTCACATGATTTTAGATATTATTTTTTTAGAGAGCAAGTATATGAGATGCATATAATAACAATTTTATTATAAAAGAAAAGTTAGGGTTGCTACACCAGAGATCTAAGCATACACGTGATCATAAGAGAATCCACAGAATTGTGTTTTAGGCATCAACAAAACTCCAAAGGTAGGTAGCAACCATACAAGTTCAGGCATTGTTCAAACAATCTTTTTCCCCGTCTTCTATGCCGCCCATTGTATCATACAAAGGCTTATTCAGCGTCTCCGGCAAGTAAAACGCCAGAGCCCCACCCATAATTCCACACCCTGCAAACACCGCAAACGGCAGCCCTCCCCCCATCACCACCACAAACGGCGCCAATATCGCCCCCATCTGCGACGCCTGCGTCCCACACCCCAACGCCGCGTTCCTCACCACCGTTGGAAACAGCTCTGCCGTATAAATATACAACAAATTATAAGTCCCCGCCATTCCAAATATCCCCAACATCCCACACACCATCCTCACAATCTTCCACATCCCCACCCCCTTCATCAAACTCCCACATAGACAGAACACCCCACTGAACCACAGCGTCCCAATCGCCAACGGCTTCCGCCCACACACGTCCAACAGCAATGCCGTGATCAAGAAAGCCGGCATTTCCGCCACCGCGTTCAGCGCCACGGTCAGGTAAATATTGGTGTCCAGATTCACCACATTCAGGCTCAACCCGTAGTACACGACGGCGCACATGAAATTAATCGCCACGGCCAGAATCAACCGAATTCGAGTAATGGGCGAGCGCATCACGTCGAGGAGAGACCCCGATTGGGTAGTCTGCTGGATTTGGTCCTGTTTCGAGCTCTGTTTTGTATCTTCGTCAATGGCAAGAAACACCCCATCAGGGAGGTGGTTTCCATTGGCTTGGGCAATGGCAGCCATGATATTTGTAGCCTCAGTAACCCTGCCGCGGACGAGGAACCATCGGGGGGATTCGGAGATAAAGGGAAGGACGAGGAAGAGGAAAAAAAAGGAGGGAAGAGAGGTGGCGATGTAGAGTTGGCGCCATGATTTAAAGACGTAAGCTATGGCGGAGAGAGCGGCAATGCCGGAGGAGAAGAAGTAGAAGGTGGACATTCCAGCGGCGGCACGCTTGGCGGGGCCAAGGGGCTCAGTGGCGAGGACGAAGGCGCATAGGCCAACGCCACCGGTGCTGAAGCCAGTGAGGAAGCGGAGGAGAGTGTAAATCAAGTAATTAGGGGAAAATGCGGTGGCGATTCCGAATATGGCATTTAAAATGCAGACTACTTTGAGGGACCCTTTTCTTCCAAGTGTTGAATCTGAGAGATGCCCGAAAATTCCAGCTCCTGCAACAAATTATTTTTTTAAAAAAAAGAAAGATAATATTGAAAATTCGTCAAAAAAAGCGTACCAAAGGAAGATGACAATCGATATCTTCCACTTCTATAAAGTATAAAGCTGCTGCCCAAGAAGATAAGCGCAACCCTTTTTGACCCTTATAATACGTCACTTATTCTTTCTGGATTTTGGAATATTCTTCTCAGTTCTCATGACTTGTCTACATCCAATCTTATCTCGTTAAGGGTTCTTTAGTAAGTATAGTCTTTCAACCTTCTTTTTTGTTTATCATCATAGTAAGTTTAGTTTTATTAAATTGAGTCTAAAAATTAAGGAACTCGTACTCTGGGCTGGTTTATGGTAACGAAGGCAACACTCAATGAATGGGGCAACAAAGCATGTGCCCAATTGGGTGCCGGGGTGTATGGGGAAATTTGGCCCTTTTGGGGGTGACCCCACCAACATCCCTATCTCCACATTCAATTTTTGTTCCATTAACAAGCTATAAAATAAATAAATTCTATTTTTTCGCTCCAGTATGGTCATACGTGCAACCTAACCAAATGTATGCTCAACCAAACATTCTTTTGTTCACTATCATCATATAAATGTGATATAAATGTATGGTGACAACATAGAGATATCAAATATTTTTAAAACAATTAACCATAAAAGGACCACCCTATTATTAAAGGGTATTCAATAAATTCAAATGAACCTACCTTCAGAAATCATTGTAGGTTCAATTTCCAAAGTGTTTGGTCAAACTTTAAACCAAAAACACATCTTTCGCTGTGTTTCCCTCAACAATCATCAATTAATCAGCTTTTAAACTAAAAACAAAATAAGTTGTAGAGAGAGAGAGAGAGAGAGAGAGTTCTGACCAATCATGCAGCCACCAAAAAACAAGGCCTGAACTAATCCGACCTTATACTTCTCACCGCAAATCAATCCCCATTCGGACACCGTCGATATCCCCGTTGCCCCGCTCCACCGCCACCACCCCGGTTCCATCTTGCAAATCCCCGCCCCTGCCGGACCGCACCCCGACCCGCCTCCCACGCAGCTCCACTCGGGNNTCCTGGTCCGCGAAAATCATGACCAACGTGTGAAACGCCTCCAGTACCCAGGCTAGGCTCGTCAGAACGAAATGCCTCAGTTGCCACCGCCCGAACTCCCCGCAGTGCTTTTGCAGCATCTCGTCCACCGTTAGCCTCTCCAACCCCTTCCCCGCCGCCGCCATCAAAGGCTGCCGGATTTCCGCCGCCTGGCCTCCGGGATCTGACGCCGACATGTCGGACATTGTCCTCGTGGCTTACCGGATCTCTGTTTTGTGGGGGAAGAGAGCGATAAGGCAGATTTTGCGAGATGTAATTGTTTGTATAATATATATATACACACACACACACACACACACACACACACACACACATCTTTGGTTCTCTTGTTTTCTCCTGTATTGAGATGCAAGGAGATTCTGTGGAAGATAAACGTGGCGCGAATCCCGCCGTTGATCTCTGTCTTTTCTCGAACTCCTGACCCACCATTGCCCATCCGCGTCTCGCCAATCCATCAGCTTGAATACTTTTAAAAAAAATTAAATCCTGTTGTATTATAAAAGGTAATTCGTGATAAGCCTGAATAATTATTCTGAATTAGATACAATTACGCAAATGATCATCTCATCTAATATTTATATTCCTACTTCGCTTTCACCTATTTCTGCGCCAATTTGTATTTATTTTATCTTTTCTTCTACTAATCAACTTTCCACATCAAATCTTAGATATGATTTTGTTTTTGTTGATTTTTCCAAACTTGTTAGTACTCACATTCAACTTTTAATCATTCAAAATAATATTTACTAACTTAAACATTCAACATGAATTATATAAAAATAAAAAGGTATACTTTTAAATATTTAAATATTTAAGCTTAGTTATTGCATATTAATTTACAAACTTTCTATTGAAACAATATTGACTAAATTTTTAAAGAAACTAAAAAAACATAAAATACATATTTTAATTAAATATAAATATACGTTAATTCATCCCCCATTATAATGATATATTTCAATAAGGAAATTTGTTGTAACAACTTGCTTTTTTCTATAAAAAATAAAACTAGTACTCCACGTGATCATTAATTTGTAAGAAAAGACATTTCATATTAAATTTGGGAATGGACTTTAATATTCAATTGAAAACATTTAATAATAATAGCATAAATAATTAAAAAATACTATGATCCAATTAGAAATAAAAACACATGTAACTACCGAACTAAATTCAATTCTCATTATTGAACCACCCCCGTTTTTCTTAAATTAATCATAACTCGAACATTGAAGTAATTTGGAGCATTAAAAGGACCCAAACCGAGCTCCTGAAGTAGGGCTTGAAGGCTAGCAAATGAATGGGCTACCCTTCAGTTTTCATTTCTGATTTGGCCCCATATGTTTAACTTATTTAATTTTTTTCCATGTCCAACCCCCTAGCCACTTTATTTATTAAGGCCCTATCAAAAGCTTAATTATACATAGCCACCTACCAATACAATAATTCTCAGTAATAATTTTTTTTTTTTTAAAAAAAAAGTAATGGGGGTCTCAGATTTCCCGCGTAAAAGGGGGGAATTAAAAAGGACGATCCTGCTTGGGGACAGCCTAAAAGGAAACTAGATAAATCCATTTTCAAAACTATTTTCCATCATTCCCTTTGCCACTAAACTAAATAAAGCACCCCTCATCCCATGCTTTTTTCAAATCAATTCCCTCCCAAAACTCAATTTATATTCTTTACTTTTATATTTCATACCATCCAATTAATTTTAATTTCCTCCGACATTTTCTAGAGTGAATAATAAACAAAATGACTTTAGAAAACTGTTTGTATAATGAAATAATAAAAATGGAAAGTCAAGACAACCAAAATTCCATATTTTATATTATTTCTATATTTATATATATATATATATATCTATAAAAAAAAAAAAGAAAAAGAAAAAAAAAGGGAAGAAAATTGCAATATGATTTGGGCATAGGATTCCAAGAAATGGAAACTCTGCTTTTTCTTTTTTTTTTTTCTTTTTTTTTTTTACAAAAGAAGAAAAAAGAAATAAATTGTAAGAAAAAACACCTCTACTAACTCGTATAACAGTATTAGCTATTATTAGAACTGATTTAGTTATATAGGCATTGGGGGCAGAACCAAAAATAAAATTATAAAAAAAAAAAAAAAAAAAAGATAAAAGAAGACAAAATTTTCCAGCAGAATTTTGACATTTTCCTCTCCTCTCTCTCTGTCTCTCTCTGTCTCTCTCTATCTTAGAGCTTCAAATCCCTTCTCCTTCCTCACCTGATTCCTCAACGCCTCTGCGAATCCCAATCAATCATACACAAACATCAATATGAATATGAATATGGCATCTCAAATCATCAAAACCCAAGATGGATCTAACATTGAACACAATGATCAACAATAAACTAATCGAAGAGGATGATTTACCTTTGGGTTGGGCCTTGCAACTGGGGGGATCTTCGAAGAGAGAGAGAGCAAGTTGCTTGTGAGCCACACCAATATCAAAAAGAATAAGCCCAGATTTAGGGTCATCCACGATGATATCCTTAACAGGAAGCCATAAAAAGAGCTCCTCTTGAGTGAGACCCTGTACGCCAATCAGACTGCCATAGCTGAGATTAGCCCTAACAACACTCTCAAACAGAACCCTGTTCTCATATTTGGTTAAACAGGGCCCATCCAGGAACACTTCCAACAACCCATTTTGAGACAGGGTGTACGACTTCACCTCCTTCGGGAGAAGGCCGGCCGGCAGCCCTTGGGAGCGGAGGAGGTCGTGGATGGTGGAGGAGAGAGACAGGGAATGGGGAAGACGGAGAGAGAGAAAGAGGAGGGAAATGTAGAAGAAGAGGGTGAAATTATGGAAGAAGAAGGCGGAGGCCATGGCGGATTAAAGAGGGAAAATAAAAAGAGAAATGAAAAAAAAAAAGAAAAGAAGGGGATTTTAAGAGCAGGGCAGAGCAGAGGCGAGCAGAGATATGGGGGGTTTGATCTTGATCTTGATCTTGTTCTTCTTCAGACGGAGGCAGGGTTGGGGGAAAAACGTGGAAAGGGGGAAGTTTAAAGAAATACGGTGGGGGGACTGTGGGGAATTTACAATTTTACCCTCACTCTTCGGTGGGGTGCTGAATTATTTCAGGTTTTCGAGATTTTCATTATTTTGTTTTCTCTACTCTACTATTATTACCAAAATTCACATTATACTCGCAACCACTTTCTGCTTTATTTATTTATTTATTACCTTTATTATTCTTCTTCACACTATTCCAAAATTAAATTAACCTAACCGTGTTTCAATTTCTTTTTTTTTTTTTTTATTATTTAGAAAAACCATTTTGGAGGATTTTTATTTGACATCACCAACTTCTCTGTAACTATTTTCTTTAAATATTGATGTTCTTTTACTACATTCATTTTAATATTTGCATAAGTTATATTTTTGAACCCTTCCAAAATTATTTATATATGAGAGACATGAGGGTATTATAGTCAATTCAAAATAACAAAACCTAAAAAAATATCCAAGCATTTTGGGCAACGTAACGCCTGCGCCTGCACCTAAAATGTGAAGAATACGCAAGTTTCAAGTGTTACGGGAATCACGCGGCTAAAACGGAGGGTAAAACGGTACTTACGCTTACGAATAAGTCTTCTAATCGGCGTACAATTAGCCAATCCCAGTCAGCAGCAGCTTGGCCCACGGAGCATATTACGCCGTTTGCATGGTACCTTTCTAACATAACAGCACATCGATTTCCACTTAATTTTCAAGTTTGCCACTGTTCATTTTTGCCCCAGTTGATGATTATGTCACCAATGGGGGACCTAAGTTGGTGACAGAACGCAAAATTAAAAAAAAAAAAAAAAAACGCAAATGATTTGACAGCGTGGACCAGGGTGCCACCGGCAACTTGCTACTCACGTTCGCCGTTCCCGCAAATTCTTCAAGACGCATCGCTCTTCGGGATGACGCCGAGCAGGTTGCCGGTTAAAAAATTGGTCCCACGTGTGGGCTTTTCTGTGGGCCTCACGCGTGACAATGCAACCCATGTTTTATGATGATTGTCCCCCCAAATAAGAAAATAAGAAAATAAGAAAATTTGGACCAAACCAACCGAAGTTATTGGGATTAATGTATTGCTTAATTATCTTAATTATTGATTACAAATCATAATGTTTAGTTTAAAACTTGCATTTCTGTAATTTTCTGTTTTGGTTTTTATATTTAACCCTTTCTCCCTAAACTTTGTTTATATATTATTGCGTTAGCCTTTCAATTTTAATTCAAAACCTACCTGTTTACACTTTACTAGATCAGCTCATTAGATATTTTTTAAGGATAAAAAAAAAAAAAAAAAAAAAAAAAAAAATGAGAGATTAATAAAA